TGATTCTAAATCATTCACGCAAGATTTTTTTCAGTAAAGATAAATTACACATAGACCACCTTAGTTACACATTACCCCTAAACACAAAAGTCTATTATTATTTTTTGCTCAACTATCGAAGGTGTCCAAACTAACTTGTGCGCACCTCGACTTATCCGTTTTGGTCCGATCAACTGTATAGTTCATCCACACCGGACTTAAGTATTCATCTGTATAAATTTCATATGGATTGACTCTATAAAGTTACCAACATTCGAACGTCGTATTAATGCGTAAAATTAACGCAGTTACCTATAATCGACCGAAACTACCACAATGTTTGCTTGTGAAACAAGGGCATTCAGATGAGTAGCGTATGTCTGGGAGAAAGGGTTCTGGACCATAAAGCCACCACCATGAAAGTAAACTAGGACAGGAAGTTTGTGTTGTTGGTCGGCGTTGGCGGCAGGTAAAGCCTAGCGCCGACACCAATTTCCGGCGCAATCTCGACATCTTTTGATTGAACTCCGGTGATGGGATCCACTGATGCAGGGACGACGTCGTTGCCCTCCAATCTTTCGATTCGACCATCTTTGTAAACTCGCATGAGATGAAGGAAATCATGGAGAATTTCAGTTGTAGTTGACTCCATTTTGCAGAGAAAATAAAGAGAGAGAAAGAGGATGTTGAAGCAGGCAGGGGTCTTCTTAGAGATTTATTTGGCGTCAACGGCTGTTGTTGGACGACTGACTTAGCATTTTACATATTCTCCACTTCTTGAAGAATAATTTAAAGATTAGCATAATCTGTTTATCGATCAAAGTATAACTAAAATAACCCAAGATTTAAACCCATGCCCATCCCCATCCCCATCACATAATTAGAATATTTATTTTGTTAAATAAACAAATGAATCTGACCTCGTGATGCTACTGTACAGTACAGGCGGCTATCATTGATCTAATGTGCAATAATTTAAAGGCTGAGATTATTTCCACCCGTTTAGTTTCTTATTATTAAATTATTAAATCTATTTTTTTTATACTCACTTCATTAATAATTAAATCTATCATATGTTATATACACCCTATTAATAATTAAGTTCAATCATTTTATGTATACTATTTTAATGAAAGAAGTTATTGGCAGAAAAAATAAATAAAAAAAACTATTATTTGAATGCAAAAATATTTTACGAAACAAGAAAAAAAAATCAAGCAAAATTGAAACAAAAAAAAAAACAAAAAAAAAAACAAAAAAAAAAAACTAAAAATGAAACAAGTATGTCAAACAAGAAAAAAAAGAAAAGAATGAAACTAGAAAAAGAAGAAGATAGAAGTAAACCGAAACAATAAAAAGAAAAGAACGTGAAATTATTGCACATTAGATCTCATGGTATTAATTGGAATTTTATTCCTTTTATAACCGTAAAACCTTCATCTCTATATAATTCTCTCTGTCTTATACTTTTTCTGTCTCTCATACTATTATTTATTTTTTTGGTTTTTCCTGTGTTGTTTTTGTTATTATTTATTCCATAAAACATATGAAATTATATATTATACAATTATTTATTCCACGAAATAATTTAAAATTATTATTATTTCACATTTATTTGGTGGTCATTAGAAAAATAACGTGGAAAAAATTAAAAAAAAAACAAAAAATTTCTTTCCTAACAATAAAAAATTTATTCTAATACAATTTTACTATTTCGTCATTACCACGAGTACATATCATTCAGTCCTATTTTTTAATTGACATGCAAATTAGAATTCGATATATAGATCCAATACGTACACCGCCACTTCGTCGGCAACACCACCACCGCCGCTGCTGTCAGCACTTGAAGAAGAAGAAGAAGCAGCAGCAGCAGCAGTAGTTTTGACTAGAAGGAGTAGCGAGTGGCGTCTACAAAGAGGGCAGTACCTGGGATAAATCTCAGCCCTCTGTTTTGTCCACCCACCGCCGGTGTGTTCTTTTTTTCTTTTCTCTTTCGTAGACTCATATTCTATCATTATGCGCAATCGCACGCAAACATATGTACGTCACTCTTCGTGCAAAAAGAAAGATATGGTGGAATGCATAAACTACTATGAGAGGACACACCAGCAGTTGAACCATGGCTTCTAATAGTGCAAAAGAAGATCTGGCCATGGATAAAAAGATAACTCAAATAATTGCACATATGCTTCTTAGTGTGATTTAACAAAGATCACCTTCCAAAAACAACTAAATCTCAAAGATCAGAAGATTTTTAATTTGCCATTGTGAGTTCTACAGATTAAGCAACTCCTGACAGTCTTCTTGCGATTTTTTTTCAACAGGAACAGGTTCACAACTTCTGCTTCATGATTTAGTGACAGGAGTGATGATAAGATTGTTACAAGTTTTTGAAGGAATACGTGTTCATGGAATTTGTTTAGAGAAATTTCATCAACAATCATCCACTTCTACGCTTGCCGTCAAGATTGTTGTCTTTGGTGACAGAAAAGTGAAAATGTTCTGTTTACGTATTGAAATAGTGATCAATTCGCAAAATAAGCCTCAAGTATCCATGGTGGATTTGATTCTTTTGCTGTCACTGCCAAAGTTAAATCATTGGGTGTTGGACGTTCACTTCTTAAAGGTAATTTTTGGTCATGTTTTTAGGTTAATTATGCTCTTACTTTAGACCAATTCTCTCTAATAACTGGAGAGCTGGTTCACTAATAAATCGAGGGATAAGTATGCTCACTCTACTAATCATTCAAATTTTCTTTTTATGTGATCTTTAAAATTTCAATTTCTTATTGTGCTTATTCTACTAATTTACATTTGAATTGGTTGTAGGACTCGGTGTCTTCTTCGCATGAGGAGAGTCAGTATCTTGCCATTGGTTGTAGTGACAATTCTGTATGTTTCTGGAATATTTTAAGATTAGATTTCATTTAATTATGTTTGCAATGTTTGTCCTTTATTTATTTTTTATTAATTTGCTTAGGTTTGCAAGTGTCTATCTTTGTGTGTCCCTTTGATTCTACATACCACAAGTTCCCACTCTTTATGTTGTCTACTGAAAAAATTCGAAATTATTGTTGCGGTGTAGTATATCTTAAGATCAAGATTTATGTTTGGGTGTTGAGTATTTCACGTTCTCCACCTCAATTTGCTTGAAACTTGGGATAAGACTTTGGTATGCCGAATGTGTCGATATTGGTTGCATTGACTATTTTTTGTGCGACTTGACTCCTTGCTGTGTGTTTTCACCTTTTACTTTTTGCTTTTTGTTTTTTATTCATCTGTAGAGAAGTGTCTGTTGTATTCCATGCGGATGTGGGGTGACGAAGTTGAAGCTCTTCGTGTTGCATCTGGAACTACTATTTATAACGAGGTAGTGAAAATCCCCCTTTATTGGTTTTTCCAGAAATTATCCTCTGTTCACTGCTTTGATAGTTGTTCATTACAAATTTAGGTCTCCATGACTGAGTGCTTATGTAAGTAAAAAAGAATTTCCAAGTGATTTTACTGTTTGTGCCTTTTACCTTGCCTTATCCTGACCTTTATCTGGCCTTTGTCTTAGGTTTGGATGGTGTTTCTCTGTTCTGTTGTTGAAACCCAACTGATGCTATTTATGAGAAAACCTGTCATTCTGCTGTAAAGACATGATGCCCCGCATCATGGTCGTTCTTCTTGAGATCTTGCATTTTATGATCAGCACTAGGATGTTTCCAAAAGTGATGATATAAGTGTCAGGTTGCCACAATTTTTTTTGGGGGAGGGGGGGGGGGGGGGGGGGGGGGTTACGGCCAATCTTGAGTTTTTGTACTCGAATCATGATTTTGTTTTATTTTGCTTTCATGCTCTCCATGATTGCTAGGCAATATATCCCTTGATTTTTTTTTTATTATGTATAAATTTTTGCCTTGCATAGATGAGTTTTATATATTCAATCCAATCCTGAAGTTAAAGTTATGAATTATTCAATTACATTTTTAATTAACATTGTTTTGGAATATAATCTCTCTCTTATTACGTTTCTTTATAAAACAACGTGCTAGAGACAAATCTTGAAGTAATTCTGCATAATTTTGATACTGCATTTGTTTAATATTTGACGTAATTGGGTTTGGTAATTGCACCCAAATAATAACCTTCATTCATTTCCCCAAATTAATTTGCATGAAAATTTCAATTAACATTTTATCTCTTTCTTGCTTTTTGAGATTTGGAATTGACATTTTGGAACAATTAACATTGAGTGAATTACTAATTCGATTATTGTTGCGCAGATTCGAGTCTATAAGAGATTATTATAAAGGTTGTGGAGGGTAAAATTTTTTTCACCGGTAGTAATTTCTACATACTTGTGATATGGGTTTTGTTGATTTATTGGATTAGACATTGATTTAAAAATAGTAAATGTCATTTTGTTATGTGATGGAAGTTGTTGGCGATTGAAAAATTTTATGGATTGTTTCTAAATTATTGAGAAAGTAGTTGTATCACACAATTTTATGTTTGGCATGTCACTTTTTCAAGTATTCATATGGTGCATTTGTTGTGGTTCATGTATTAAAGAATAGTTTTAAGTTGGCTTTAGATGAATAAAAAGAGCATTTTTATTTTTCAACCTCATCCATTTTATTTGGTATTTTGTATAGGCACAAATTGATTTGATTGATCCAATTAAACTTACGGAATGTCATGTGGGTTTATAGTCTAAAAATACAATTTAGACTTTCAGTTTAATGCATGTTTATGTTCAGTGTTTGATTGTTTTATGTTCAAGAATAATGTTTTTTTTTTGAATTGCACAGTGTCTTCAGGCATGAGTTAAAGGGTAATTTAGTCTTTCAACTTGGTACCCATTTGAGTTCAATGCTCATTTTTTTTTAATTACACCATGCATTTAGGCACAAATTATCCCTAGTATATACATATTTTGGGTCAACAATGGAGGGATATGCATGTGGCTTTGGTGGTAGGTCAGAAGTCCTTACATTTTTTTTTTCGTTTGCACCTAATCTGGTGTTTATTAATCCTGATCCATGGGATTAATGAATTGCACTTTTAAAATTAAATTTAAATCAGTTATGATCGAATCTGTGACCATCGAATCTCAACTTGAAAGCAATTTAATAATCAAAAATTTTATGGGCCTCGTGGTATTATTAGGATACGAACAATATTTGAGATTAAATTATACATTATAATTTAATTATGAAATATTTGATTATTATAAATTTTAATAGGATCGAAATTTATTGAGTAAAACAAATAATAAAATGATTGAAGTCTAGTTGATAATTAAGTGGATGGAGTGTAAATGGATGACTCATGAATGAAACAAGAGTGGAGGTGTCATTTGGAGGAGGATGAGTAAGCATCAAAGTCTTTTGTACGTGTTTGTTTTAGAAATAGGCAACGTGTACAATTGGAGGGGTTTTTTTTTTAAAAAAAGGCATATACCCTAGAGTTGTGCTTTTGGATGTGTGAATAAAATAGAGAGAAAGGGTGAGGGGACTCAGTTGGAGAAAGGAAAAAAAAAAAAACAGTAACTGTCATGGGTGGGGTTCAAAGTTGAGATATTTTTTGGTCGAGGAAAAAGCTCAATATGTTATGCTAGAGAGGAATGGGGAAGTGGTGTACACATAATATGTATTCTTTTAATCTCTTTAGAAAGAGTATTTTATTAATATCGTTTTATCCGTATTCGAATTGTGATATAGTTTAGTTTCAAGTTTCGAAATGATATTTCGTTTAATTGTTAGTAATTCGATATTCGATTGTTAATCGTTGTGATGTTGGTTTTTGTGAAATATTTGAAATTTTTTAACTCGTGTCTGAAGTATATTCAATAATGTGATTATGATTGTGATTTATGTTCGTGGTCCTAAGGGATGAACATGACTGTATTAAAATATTTCGAGTGATGCCTCGCTTATTGTTGAGATTGACTGAGTGTTTAATTATGATTGATTTGATTATTCAAACGTTTGAGTTCATTGATCCGTTCAATATATTTATGTTCCGTAAATTATCGTATTAATTTTGTGTCATTAATTGTTTATCGATACAATAATTATATTTTATTTAATGCAACGCTTTTTTATTTTTTAAAAACAATTGTGTAGTTATCATTTACTATTTTTCAGTTTGTTTGTAATCTATACCTAATAAAACACGATTGAATGCAAAAGTTACATTTTATAACCCAAAATTATTTTATGTTATTTCAAATATACAATTTCTCAGTAAGAGCAAGAACGATCTCAATTATTTTTTGCAACTATATAAAGAATGATTTTATTACGGAATATATGATTGTGCGCATTGGTAGGAAATTGGTGATAAATCTAGCTTACAAGTAATCAATTGTAAAAAATCTTAAGGATTTTAAAGAATGTTCTATTTCACTATAATAAATGATTTTAGTTAAAATATACTAAGAAAAAGTTATTTTATGTCTTTTGTGCAAATTTTGTTTAGACAAAATAACAATTAATTTTTTTATAATTTTGTCTTGAATTTTAGTCTACTTTGTCATTCTTGTACTCAATTTTCTTTCTGTATTAACTTGTGAATTATTTTCGTCCCCCTCATCCTAAAGTAGGTGATGTCATTTTGGCAGAGAAAAGGATGGGTTGACACTTGAGAGTGATGGGTTGGTTTCATTATGAGAGGTTGAGGAAGAGTGGTTGGAGGTGGGGTAGCGCGGTGGAGATTATGGAGACGCAACCCATCTTTGTAAGAAGGCTGTGGCATCTTTAATGAATGAGAGCTGGGCTTTGGACTTCCTTTTTTGTACACACATATATACAATACAACACAAACACCCACCCAGTTGGATTTAATACGCTTTAAATCTATAGACAAACACATACAATTAAAGAATAAATTAAAAACATAAAACAATAAGAAACAAAAAAGAACAAGACACACAAATTTTACGTGGTTCAGCAATTTACCTACATCCACAAAGTTTCAGGGATTTCACTATTGAGAGAGAGGATTACAGAGAGCAGCTATACACTTC